CCCACTTGATAAAGAAACACAGTTTTAAATCCGTTCTCACTAATTTGTTCCTCTGTGTGGTAGAACTCCTGAGCACGGGAAAAATGAAGTTTCCAGAGCTGACGCAAAGATGGGAGTTTTTTGTTAGGTTGTGTCAATTGTCACCGTGGCATTTCTCGTTAGGATTTTTCTTACTGTCATTTTTTTGTTAAATTAATTACAGTTTGATCAGTGTGGGAGCTATTTTGAATCCATGGGACTTTCCTAACCAGATTGTTTTGGCATTTTGAAGTCACTCACATTCAGGGCCTAAACAATATGGCAAGTATCTCTTTTTCTCTTTCCTTTATACTCAAATTCTAAACAAAAGAACCATCTGTTCTCTCTCTAAAAACATCAGCCCTTGTTTTCATTTTTCCGTTAATAATAATGCCTCAAACCTAGACCATGTCTTTCTGCCACTTGCTTATTAAAGCACTTTGTAGATACTGTCTCATTCAACTTCAACATCACCACCTACCAACTGGGGAGGAAGGGGAAATGTTTGTCGATATTTAGTCCGATAAGTGATTTTCGGATACTTGATGAATCTGGCACAGATGATGGCATGTTAGCCTCAGAAGGGACCTTGGGGCCATCATCTAACCCAGTGCTGGCTCTTCGATATGTAAAAGGGAGACCCAGAAAGGAGAAGTCACTTCATGTTCTATTTGGGTACTTAGCTCTCTACCCCTGACTAAAAGCAGTGAAGGTAAGAACTGTGTCTGACACGTTTTTGTATCTCTGGCACCTGATGTGTAAAAAGCGCTCATTTAAATATTTGTTGAGTAAATGGAAATGTTTGTGACTAGTTCCACAGGTGGTTGTGGCAGAGCTGGGGTCAGAGTTCAATAATCCCATCCTCTTAGTAAGTACGTTGCTCTTAATAGTACCCTATAGATCTGAACGCAAGAAGAATCGAATAAAGACGCCACCCAACTCGGGGAACAAGAAACGGGCTTGTGTCTCTAAGTAAGAAATCTGTTGAACAAACCCAGTAGGAATCACCAAGTCTGGCCACTGGCCACGCTAAAATTTAACCCACGTTGAGGCTGACTTTCTATCAGCTCAGCACTCTGTAAGTGCTCCACGTATTTGGGGATTTGGTGGAGCTATTCCTTAAACCTCACCCGACTGGAAGAACTGATGTGTCTTCAGGCCAAAGTACAGCATGTCTTCATACCCCCAGGAGCCCAACAAGACCATCTTCTACCCTGCGATTTGCTCTCCTCACTTGCTGTAACTCGAGAGCGTCCAGACTCCCAGGATCATGAAATCCACCAGCCCAGAGATTTCCAGTGAGCTGAGAAGTCACTGAAATAAAAACCTTTTTTTCCATGTGCCTCACTGGAAATCAGCAACTCATTTGGCATGTTTTTCTTATTTTCTGAATGCCCTATTCCCCACTGCTACTCCTTGAAGCTAAAGTAGAAATAAATTATTTCTGGAAAAGCAAGTTAAATGTGGGATTCTGTCATTGGAATTGCTTCTATAGTAGTAGTACTAACAAAGTCAATAACTCCCTAAAGACTGTTCCAAAGCAGTTTGTCCATGTAGACAAGAAAGCTAAAGGTCCGAGGAGAGAAGAAGAACACATTTTTTTTTTTAGGAAAAGAAGAAAAAGCCGAAGAGAATTCACGTATATTATAATGTGGTCTCACATAAAGGGAATTCGTTTCAGATAGGAACAAGAAACAAATTAGTTACAAAATATAAAGAAATCAACATAAATAAGCCTTCAAATATTCGAAGAATAGTGTTTTTAAAGGGGGAGGTGGGGAGGGGATGGTAGGGGAGAAGAGAAAAACACGGGGGCTGAGACACAAACCCTAACACGCTGGGTCTGATACAGACACAGAGGCTGCCGCTGGTGTCTGGGATTGTCCAGCATGTACGTCAGGGCAAACAGCTGCAGAGAGGTCCCCTGCACAGAGAGCAGACACAGCAGGTTGAATCGTGCTATGTCAATAGTCCTTTCCTCGCTCAGCACCCTCTGCTCCTAGGGGGCTTCAGTGTCAAGGGCGTCCCATGGGCCGTTTATCACTCTTGTAGTCGCTACACAGAATGAAAACCCTCTCTCTGTATGTTCCTGACAAAAGTTTGCCCTTTCATTTTTTTAAGGTTTGTTTAACGTTTATTTATTTTTGAGAGAGAGAGAGAGAGAGCGCGCGCGCGAGAGAGAGAGTGGGGGAGGGGCAGGGAGAGTGGGACAGAGGATCCAAAGCAGGCTCTGCACTGACAGCAGTGAGTCCAAAGTGGGGCTCAAACCCATAAGCCTTGAGATCATGACCTGAGCCGAAGTCGGATGCTCAACGGACTGAGCCACCCAGACGCCCCAAGGGTTTGCCCTTTTCATACCTACGGACCTTCCTGCTCTCGGGACCACCACCAAAAATATCACCTTGTACCTTGCAAACACAGTGCATACATCCAGCATCCTAATGTTTTACACTTAAAAGTGAAAGGTCCTACATTTCAGAATATATAAAAGAGACACAAGACGTTACTTGAGTGGTCTTGATCTCCAACCTTAACTTTTCAGAGGATTACTTGTGAACTTGCCATTGGGACGGTCAGTTAACTAAACGTCCGCCTGATGTCCAATCAGGTATCTGCAGGACCAGAGGAGGCCTGCATGTGCAGGGTTTGCTGCCCTGGACATTCTCCTCCTGCCAAAACCATATCTGAGGAAAGAACGCTGAAGTAGACCGGCACTCCATCTCACGGGAGCTAACGAGCAAATACAATTTGGTAGAGATGACTGGTACTTCTCCAAATAAAAGTTTCTATCAAAAGATGTTGCTGCTTTGATACTCTAAGCACTCAGTTAAAGTCGGACGATTTGGGGCAAAGCTCTCAACCACTCTGGACGTGAGTTTCCTTTTCTACCAAATAAAAGCAGTCAAATTCAGTAAGCTCTAGACTTCCATCTGGCTCAGAAATTCTGTGCCTACTGCCAAGTGGTCTCTCCCTCCTAGTGTGCCAGTCCGCACCCCCACCTCTCACACCCAAACACACACAAGTATACACGTACTCACCCCTAGCCCGTCTACAGCCTTGTCAGGTAAGCTGTAAGCAGTTCCTACCCTCATTCCCCACTGCTGCTTCTCCGCCAAACACTTGACACAAAAAAGGATTTTGAAGGGAGGTCATGAGGGAGAAATGAGACACGTGCCCACCATTTACACACAGACCTCACCTTGAGATGACACCTTCTGCGGGTCCCAGCGGTGTCTTCATCACCCCAGACCCCAGAGGCAGCCATCTGCCAGACTGCCAGCTCCTCAAGTCCGATCTCTACCTCTTACTCTCCGAGACTGTGGACAGGTCATTTGACCATTTTACCTCTCTGGGCCTCGGATTCCCCGAGTTTGCCAAAACGTGCAAGAATTCGGACATGCTACTCTAGAGATCTGAAATTTCATTACAAATTTCAAGCAAACACCCACCAAAGCCCTCTGTCTGGTATTGCTGTTGACCTACAGGCTCTCAGACAAATGGAAGTGACTTTTTGCATGATCTTGCACAACAATAATAATAGTGCATCAATAGGGGCAAATACTTCTAATTTGTGCTTGTTTATTTGTTTATTTCCAGGCTAAAGAAGTTACAGGCACCACCTGCCAATGGCCTTTGGAGATTCCACGATGCCCTTTTGGTTAACGATGGTCCAGAAGTTCAGAAACTTAAAAAGGTGGAACTGGAAACCACGCAGTAAAAATGTGGAGCCTGAAATATTGAGAAAATGATTTAGGGAAAATAATACCACTTCCTTCTTCAAAACCTTTTTTTTTATTTAACAATAATGACCGTAATAACGACAGTATACAAAGTAACAATATAATTGAGCACAGAACACACTGATTTGCCTCGGATCCCTTTCAGCCGTGTAATCAGCACGAACAGCAAGACCATAATACTCATGTTTCTATTTGTTGCCCTCAACTGACATGGTTGGTCGTTTGTTTTGTCTTAAATAAAATGAGGAAGCAACAAATATATTACATCCGTCTGCAAAAAACCCATATTTGCATGTGGAAAACAAATAAGGGGGTGCCTGAATGGGTGATTAGGCATGCAATTGCCCATCTGCCCCAGCCTCCCTGCAGGTGCACCTGTCACGGGAGCAGAGAAACAAAAAGGAGAGCCATCAGCCAGAAGGGCGACAGATAGGAGGGAAACCAACAGTACCCTTCGCACCTGGACTTGTTCTGAGCTGTGCGCTGCTACGGTCCCAGCTCCCACCTACTGCCCCTGTATCTTAAAGCTGAAAAGCAGAAACATCTTAAGCCAACCTTTCGTTAGTCTTCTGTGGTTTCTCTACATCACAAAGGCAATTCTCTAAATACCTCAACAGGTACAAGTATATTTGTTGTTGCAATGATTTTTATGAGCGTGGGTGACCTCCTCCCCCGTATTCTTCCCCTCGGTCACTCCACCCCAGCCACGCTGGCCTCCTCACTTTTCCAGAATGTACCAAACAGGCTTCAGCCTCAGGGCCTTTGTGATTACTTTCTCTCAGCCTAAAACAGTCTTCCTCCTCTCAGCTCCAGCTTCAGGTCCTTGTTCATGTAGACCCTTATCAGGAAGAACTTCTCCCTAACTCCTGTTCCCTTAATCAGTCTTATTTTTCTTCTGAATATAGAGTGCAACTGAAATATTACATGTTTAGTCATTAGTTTGTATGTAGTCTGTCTCCATCGAATAGAAGGTCTGTCTGATTTTGTTCACAGAACATGGAATAGTGTCTAACACACAGCAGGTGCTCAATAAACAGTTGGTAAGTTACTGAGCCATCATGATTACTAGCAAACCACTTCCCTTCCACCATAGGTCGTCTTCTGGAATAAGACAGGATTCATGTTCTTCAGAAGCTTCTATAATCTAGTAAGAAAGGAAGACTGGAAGTATACTTATATAGCAGAGCAAAGTGACACAAATGTTCTGTTGGATATATAAACAAAGCACTCTGATACTACAGGAAAAGCAAATCGTTGACTGTGGGGTAGGAAGGGTTGAGGGAGGCCAACAGAACAGAATTCTCTGGAAATCCCTTGAAAAGCACAGAAATCATCCTCAAAAATACACTCAGTACAAAAAAAGTATTAAGACATCCTCAGTTAGCCTGCTTTCCTTCAACAATAATGCTAAGCGAAACAAAAGACTGCCCAAGATAAGTCAGCATTTATGTGTGCCAAGACCATGGAGAAAGGAAAAATCACTTTCCTCCATAAAGCCTTCATTTTCAAATGGAATTACTTAAATGCACATAAAACGTGCCTTCAGAAAATTCCAGACTCTCAGGACAGGGAGGACCTTAGAGGGCTTCCAGTCCAACTTCTCATTCCCTCTACGAAGGACCCATTAGTATCAACCTCTACGTGCAGCGGTGAAGTCATCACCCTTCAAAATGGCACATTCCATTGGTGGTCTGCCCCTAATATTAAGTCCTTCTTCACACGTCTTTCTGTTGCTTTCACCCACTGCTTCCAGAACTCCTTCTGAGAGCACAGAGAGTGAGTGTGTGTCCCCTTCCTGCTCTGTTCCCTCCCCCTCCATCCCCTTTCTCTCTTCTCCACACTAACTACTTCCAATTCCTTCTCTCAGCCCTCAAAGGCTCTGGTCTCCTGTGCCATTCACCATCCTAAACTTCCCTCTTCCTTTCCCTCCTCTTCCTCTCTCACTGTTCCAGGACCTAGGGTTCAAGCAATGTAGCATTCTGCTGAGAGGTCGGCATTTTGTCTGGGATCAGGAAGAGGGGCACCTAGGACCCAAAGGTTCCAAGAGCTAACTCTGTGATCCCTGACCCAATAAGACCCCGGGAAAGTCACCTAACTTTTTGGCTTTGACCTTGAAATGCCATATTTGGCATATATTAGAATAGTATGGGCACGGTAACTCTTTGGAAGTAAAGAATACAAGCAGGTGAAAGCTATCTCCTGGCCCTACCCTACCTCAAGGACATACAGAATTTGGGGAGTCTCAGGCCTCCAATAAACCAAGGCCCCTCTAGTCTTAGATAAATTCCACCTTCTCAACCCCCACAGCCAGCCTGCATGGATAAATGTGAGATTAAATATGCATTTTTAACCATCTCTAAACCTATGGCAGATATTGCTACATAATCATGGACTCTTCCCTACTAGTCAGGATACAGTTTCAGAATCATTCTCAACACATCATCACAAGAATCCACTACCAACACCCCATGTGGCCACATGAAATGAAATCGGAACCACTCCTTCAGAGGAGGAAAACTGACACTCCGAGATGGGCCGTGACCTCCCCATGACTGTGTCAAGAGCAGAACCAGAACCACAAAGGCCCCTTCCCCATTCTCCTAGGTCACCTCTCCTCTTCTAACTCTGATCTGCCGTGAATGTGCCTTGACGTGGGGGACGGGACCCTGCCACTGCAGGTCATTCTACGACAAACACAGATAAAGGGTTGCTAAGTAAGGGGCAAAAGCTTCAGAGAAGGCTTGGAGGAAGAGGTGCATCTGAGCCAGCCTGAAGAAGTCTGCTATCTGTAGGAACCGATGCGTTGTACTAGACTTCAGCAGGAGAAAATTCAAGACCGTGGTGGCATTAACAGTAGCAGGAACAGCATCAGCGAAGGAAGGGTGAGGACTCCAGGCTCTGAGAGGAGGCTGCAGGCAGGTAGGCAGAGCAGTAGCCATACCCGAGGCCATGGAGGCCGTGGGGAGAGGAGCAATGCACAAAATGACAAGACAAGATTAGAAGAGCGAACCAGAGTCTGAGTGGTGTTTCCAGTGTCGGTGTTTGGGGTTGTTTTGTTTTGTTTTTTAATTGACTTAAAAAACCCTGAGACTTATAAATGGGAAGAGACGATAAGGAAAGAGTGGGAGGAAAGGAAAGAATCTCTCTCCATTCTCAATGGAAAAAAAAAAAAAAGCCTTGCTATAAAATGTATTACAGGAACACTTTCATTATATAAAAACCTATTTTGTTTTCATGTCATTCTTAGATTACATCATAGAGTGGTTGCAGCCGTCTCGTACCATATTATAAATAAATCACTAGCTTAATCATAGAACGAGCCAGGGCCCTAGATTTAAAAGGGAAATATTAGATCATTTTTAATAACTGATATAACTCAAGCCAGTCACCACTGAAGCAGGGTGAGGTGACGTCATCCTAGAGAAGTCCAAAGAGGAACCAAAGAGGGTCAGTGCTGGGCAGGCCCAGAGAAGATGCCATTTACAAAGGAAGAGGTAGCTGATGGCAGGTGAGGGGAGTTCATCCTCTAGACTAGACAATCTTGTCATGGAAAGCAATGCTTACCTTCCAAGTACTGATGTCCAAAAGGCCTTCCTTGTGAAACATAGTGTGTGAATATTATATTTTGTTCTCAGAGCTACTGTATTCCCAAATAGCAGAAAATATGAGCATATTACGATGTCCATATTTATGTCTTGGGAGCCACTGAGCAAAATTATAGACGGGAAGGCTTTTACTTATTCAGGAAAATAGTAAATCCGGGCCGACACATGCAAATGCTACAGGCCTGATTCAAGTCAAGGGGACAGTGCAAAGCGGGGACACTGAGAAAATGGCCTGACACAGTAAACAATTGAGAGTAATTTCCAGCCCTTACTGACTATTAAGGAGAGCACCGGCTAATGTTTCATGAGCACCAACTTTGTGCTAAGTACCCCCTTGGCAGGCACTTTGTGTACATTTGTGAACACAAAAGAATAAGAATCCGAGGCAGCTGCTACCAGTTTTTCAAATTAAGTGGGGGCCCCTCGGTGGTTCAGTCAGTTGAGCGTCCAACTTTGGCTCAGGTCATGATCTCACGGTTCATGGGTTTGAGCCCCGCATCGGGCTCTGTGCTGACAGCTTGGAGCCTGGAGCCTGGAGCCTGCTTCAGATTCCGTGTCTCCCCTTCTCTCTCTGCCCTTCCCCTGCGCACTCTCTGCCTCTGCTTCAAAAATAAGCAAACATTAAAAACGTTTTTTTAAATAAAGGAATGATTAAGTGACTTAAGTTCAGGCAGCTAATGCTAATAATGATAGTCTTCCCATTCCAAATTCTGTTCTATCTTGTTGCCTACACCCAACCCGAACTATTTCCTGTTACGGGCTGTCAGTAAAAATTAAATAATAGACAAGCCACACTTTGAAAGCACTAATAGTATCAAAACATCTTGAGAGTCAAAGGGGCCACGGAGCCGGGGAGTCATATTGACCTTCTGGCCAGCCACAGTCTTACTGACCCGAGCAGGCTTTCCTTAGTTTGGCTGCAGGGCTACTAACGACCTTGACCATAATTTTTAAGTCTTCCATTTCCATTAACTTTTGAGGAATGTTAAGGAAGACTCTAAGGGAACCTGCCATCCTCTATAAAATAGACTGCCAGATTTGGTTTTAGAAAAGACTGGTTGGGGGGTGGGGGGAAACGGACGCTCTAGAAAAGAACTTGCTGCCAGACAGAAGGTATTGGCTGACTCTTCGTGTCTGATCCTGTCAGTCCCACAGCAATACTG